TCAGTGGCACCTAACAGTGCCAGTCAGCGCTGCCTTTCAGTGCCCATCAGTGATGCCTGTCAATGCCCATCAGTGCCACCTACCAGTGCCTCCTCATCAGTGCCCATCAGTGAAGGAGAAAATCACTTATTTACAAAATTTTATAACAAAAACGAAGAAAAAACATTTTTTTTTTCAAAATTCAGTGGTTTTTGGTTTAAGAAAAAATAAAAAAACCCGGAGTTGATTAAATACCACCAAAATAAAGCTCTAAAAAAAATGATAAAAATTTCATATGGGTACAGTGTTGCATGACCGCACAATTGTCATTCAAAGTGTGACAGCGCTGAAAGCTGGAAATTGGCCTGGGCAGGAAGGGGGTATAAGTGCCCTGTAGGCTTGTGGTTAAGATCTTTCGTTTTTTTTTTTTTTTAAACTTTACTTTTTTAAAAAAAAAAAAAACACAGAAGAATTTTATGGAAATTCTTATGTTTAGTGATCGTTCATTTTTTAAAACACAAATATTGGAGTTCACCCTTCTCATATCACAAGCTCAATCCTACCTGACATTTATGCAGGAAGGTTAGTAGTCATACATGAAAAGAAAGATAGATATAGAGATGATAAATAAAAAGAAAGAAGGGAAAGGCAGCGTGAGAGCGAGCCAATGAGGGAGAACAGCTAAAGAGCCAGCAAGAAAGCTAGAGAGTAGGAATGACAGCAAAAAAAAGCCAAAAATGCATGAAAGGCCATCAGAAATCCATCCAGCATGAGTGACCACCAGAAAGAGCTGTAGAGAGAGTAAGAGAAAGCGAGAGACAATAATCAAGAGAGCCAGAGGGAGAGTCTAAAAGACCACCTGAAAGAAAGCAAGAGACCATCAGAAAGTGAGTCTGAATGAACATGAGATCACTAGAGAATGCGAGAGACTGTCAAAAAGAAATCCAGAGAGAGCATCAGAGACTGCCACAAAGAGAGCCATAGATAGCATGAGAGAGTGGAAGAAAGCCTGAGTGTGAGAACCAGACAGAGCATCAAGAAACTCCAAGAATGAAAGCCAGAGAAAGCATGAGAGACTGCCAGAAAAATAACCACGGAGTGTAAGAGACAGACAGACAGACACACACACACACACACACACACACAGATTGTAAGATAACGTCACTAAGACAGCCAGAGTGTGAGAGCCAAGGCCAAGAGCACTTGGCTGTAAAAAGCTGAAATGATGTGCCAGCTAGGTACAACTGGACTTTTGATAGATGTAGCGGATCACATTTAGCCTCCATTCACACCTGTGCATTCCTGGGAATGTGCAAAATACACAAGTCATGCTTGCGGTGCCATTAACCGTCAATGGCACCCAAAACACAGCTAGGAAACACGTGGAAAAAAAAAAAAAAAAAAAAAAAACAAAACAAAAAAGGGTGCATGAGCTTCTTTTGGTGCCTTTGTCAAGCATAAGGCAGGCCATTCAAGTGAATGGGCTGCCCTTTGCTGGTGTGCAAAAAGCAAGCGTTTGTGTGATGCACAGGAATGAATGGGGCTTTATAGTTGGCAGTGGTGTGGCAAGCAGTGTGAATCTGTGGTGGAGATAACGGGTGTTTGCAATTAGCTGCAGCTAGGAAGCCCATGTAAAAACACACATTTTTACTACTATGACTACTTTTAATGAACTTCATTACATTTGGCATTGTGCTGAAAAATGTATTTACATAAAAAGTAAGGACTAAAATGGTTACATTTTCAATTTGAAACTCATGTAATGAATAGTTTAGTGGTCAGGATTAGCTGAATGTACTTTATTTTGAAGAGGAACTTTGGATTTTACATAATGAAAAATATAGTTAAAGACTAGAAAAAAGTAGAACAAGATGACACACCAGAATGGTTTCCTCATTCCAGATGTTCACATTATATCTAAATTACAGAGAAACAATTGTCCTGATCTGTGACAGACATAAGCTAGCAGAAATCACGTGCCAAAATTCAAAAACCTCTTGAATACACTACATGTAGGAACAATAGTCACCAAAGCCAGTGGTATAGAGAATACTCTGCTCAAGGCCACCCCTCTTATATCCATTTCAACTGCAATTGCAGACTCATTTGTTAAACCCACATAACACAAAAAAACAATTAATTCGGTGGTCACGTTTTGCCCTTCTGGGTTCCTCCGTGTGACGTGTGTTTTGCTCAGAAATGAATCTATTACTAGATTGCAGGCAGGCAATTGTGATCATTAGATTAATTAGGTTTTGTTGTGGCATGGGAGTGTAACATGTGGCCTTCATTTTGTTTTGTTTTTTTTATCTACTGACAATTTTCCCTAATTTAGGAAAGATATCTTCTTGCATCCGATTCGGTCACAGTGCGTTGCTATGGTTATTTCAGTGATTTTTTTTATTTAATAGCATAAATATATGGAATGGTCCATTTTGGTTACCATGTATTGTTTTTAGAAGCTAGGCTTCCCCTATTCAAATCCTAACAAACTCCACCTCCACAGTATCTCCAAAATACGACCGTTCCTAACCCCAGAAACTACAAAGCAACTCATTCACTCCCTTATTATATCACGACTTGACTACTGTAACTCCCTCCTCACCGGCCTACCTCATCACAGGCTATCCCCGCTTCAGTCTATCCTGAATTCCATGGCCAGACTCATCCACCTTACCAACCGCTCCGTATCCGCCACCCCCCTCTGCCAATCCCTCCACTGGCTTCCGATTGCCCAACGCATAAAATTCAAATTACTAACATTGACGTACAAAGCTGTTCATAATACTGCTCCAAACTACATCACCGACCTGATATCCATTTACCACCCAAAACGTACTCTCTGCTCCTCAAAAGACCTCCTCCTAGTTCCCTGGTCTCCTCCTCCCATGCCCATCTCCAGGGCTTCCCCCATCCTCTGGAACTCACTACCCCAATCCATCAGACTGTCACCTACCCTCCTCACCTTTAGGCGCACCCTGAAAACCCATCTCTTCAGGGAAGCTTACCCCGCCCTCACCTAATTGCCGATCTCCTCCACTCTTCCTACCACTCCATCCCCCAGAGCTATTTCCTCCTGTACCACTATCCCCTCCCTCCTAGATTGTAAGCTCCAAAGAGCAGGGCCCTCGAACCCCTCGTGTATTGTATTGTCACTTTGCTGTCTCATGTATTGTCTCCCATTATAATGTATAGTGCTGAGCAAACTGTTGGCGCTATATAAATACTGTATTATAATAATAATAATAACCCATCCGACGGGTTCATCGAGCTCATATAACAGGAAGTAGGGGCAGGGAACAAATGACTTGAACTCAGTCTGATAAGCCAGGAGCAGTCTGGAAGAGATCCTGAATAGAAGGGAGATGACTCCATATCACAAGGAAGACTGAAGGAAGGAAATTTACCTGGTGATGATACTTAAAAGGATAAGTTCACTTGGTAGTTAATTGAGAACTATAAACCAACATTCACAAATTATATTGGTAATTGTAGTTCATTCATTCACAGAACTCTGTGAATGAATGACGCAGCCTTATGGGTGGAGCCCCGCGGTTTTCAAACAGTGACAGCTAGTACGGGGAATTTCTCCCCATACTGCTGCCACAGGGAGAGGGCAGCGGCTGCAGCAGAGGGAACATGTTACAAAATTGGGTGGCATATGTAACAAGTTCCCAATGGTGAACTTATCCTTTAATCTACAACCCAAGTTAAGTAACTCTTCGTGCAATCCCTGTCGCATACACTGTTCCATGATCATTTGCTAGAAAGGATAGCATGTGTATATTGTATGCATATTTTGAGATACTCCGCATGTTGTTTTCCTAAAATTTTACATAGTTTGTACAGCATTATTTTTGCTGACTAAAGCACACTAATATACTGCACAGGTTTTCTTTTTATGCTTCCTTGCTTTAGCGCAAGGTGACCTTAAAAGACACAAAGAAAAACACATTAGAACAAGGAAGTGAAGGGAAATATTCCATGCAGAATACCCAAGATTCACACTTTTCAATCAATAAAAAAAAAAAAAAAAAAAAAAAAAAAAAAAAGAAGAAGTGTGAACCTGGGGTAAGTTTTCTGAATCTTGCATAAAAACCATTGCTAAATATTACACCAAGGGGTCTAATAAATAATAAAATGCAATTAACAGCACAACAAAATCCTTACTTATTTATTCACATCTGAAGCCAAAAAAAAAAAAAAAAGTGTACACTGAAGATACAGATTATAAATACCACTATGCCTATGAACTCTGGAGCTGCTACAAAATCTGCTCTCAATTACATACTTGGAAAAAAAGTTATTTAAAAAAAACAGTTGTGCACAGTTAAAGGGCTCGTACACACAAGGTGATGTATAATTTGCAGGAGTATGGTTTCCTTTTCAGGATGACAAAGCCAAGGTCATTCTGGGAATCTGCCGCTGCTGCATGAATGACTCATTCAGCAGGAGATGTAAACAGCAATACTGTGTAATCAGCGGTGCAGCTGCCAAAACATTGTTTATATTTACATGTTAGCCCTGAGCTTCGACCAATAGGCTCCATTAAAGCTGTATGCATATAAATGCTAGCACACACATTACATGCCCACATACTTATTTTTTTTTTTTAATGTAGGATTTTGCTGCCAGCACCAATACAGCCATATGCACACACTTAAAATGGTAGCCCTGTTCTTTTTTTGCAATTAAAAGGACTGCATTCCTTTTGAATCTATTCTCAAAATAAACAGGTCACTACTCATGTTCCCATGGTCCAGTCAGGCCATGTTCATAATGACAGGCCAATAACAGTACATGACATGTGGTCATCAGTCGGGGGATCACCCAAGTTCTTCCAGTCCTTTGTTTACACAGACACCATTAGGTCAAGTACTACAAGGCATTGCGAACAGCTGTGCTTGCAGAAAATCCTACTACTCTGTTAAAAAGGCCATGCACTGCTTATAATCTCTTTAGTGAGCATCTTCAAATCATATTTATTGAAGCAGTTACTCTTACAACACCAAACAACTTACCCAGCCTTGGCATAACTGCACCAAGAAATTGCTCATCATCCTGAAAATGATTCTCCTGCAAAGATTCTAGCAATTTTTGTAAAACATCTTGAGGAACTTTGCAGCCAGTGCCTTTAAGCTCTGCAAAACGAGTTAGGCGGAAGCTCTTGTCAAGCTCATAACTCTCAGGATTGAAAGATTCCCGGACAGACATGTTTGTCAGACAGATTGATTCTTCAGTTTGTGTCACTTAATCAACAATCCTTTTCGCTCCTTTGTAGATGAACCTAGAGAGCAAAATAGAACAATATAATGAAGAAATAAAAAGATCAGCATAGAACACAGTCTTTAAATAACAACTGGCAAAGGTTTGCCCGTTTGTTAAAGCTCATCTCCAGGGCAATAACATTGGAGGTAGCTTCTTTTTTTTTTTTAAACTTTTCACCCTGTGTCCTTTTGAGAAAATATATTTTTTTCTGAACTGTTGAGTTATCTTCTCCCAAAGTCACTCTTCAGAGGCAGGCTAAAGTTTCCTATCCAGGGGACTAGACACTTTTCTCCTCAACTTCCCCATATAGTTTTGGACATAGTTTTTTTTTTTTTTTTTAGGAGGACTAGAGATCAGCTTTAAAACTGTGCATTCACTAGTCTCTCTGCTGTCCCAAATAACGTCTGTCATGTCAATTCCACAGTGATTAGTGGTATGGAGTATATAAGTACATCACTGTATAAAAAGTGTATCTTAACCTAAGAACAATGGAATATTGCCATTTACCAGTCCTTTGATGTGGTGGCTGCATTAGTTTTCTTTTTCAGGCTTTTTTCCAAAATGTTTTTACTTGGTGATCCTGCCAGTAACACTTCCTGTCCTAGGGTGACAACGCTAACTCACGCTTCTCTACTGAAAAGCAGTGTTGTCATCTTCGGACAGGAAGTTGTGTTAGGACTACAGAACTCCTTCCCCTCTCTAAATTTTTATAGTGACAAGAAAAGACAAAGATTATAAGTGGTAAGCACAAGTTCTCATACAGAGCAATGTTATGTTCTCAAACATGCTACACATAGCATCTCTACAGAAGGTTACTTTGCTTACGGACTAACACCCCAGGTCCTATTATCAGTTATACAATTCCTGGCAAAAAGTATGGCATCACCACTCTTGGAAAATGTTCATTCATTTGTTTGTGTATAAAAAAACTAATCACAGACATGCCTCAAAACTATTTTCACTTAACATTCCAACCTTCTGGCTTAAAAAATAAAATAAAGAAAGAAACTGTAGGTCAGTTGCAACTGTTTTTGCAGATCAAGCAGAGGAAAAAAAAATGGAATCACACAATTCTGAGGAAGGGAAGGAAGGAAGGAGGAAGGAAGGAAGGAAAGGAAATAACACTACAGTACACCACTAGTACTTTGTTGTACCACCTCTGACTTTTATAACAGCTTGAATTCTCTGAGGCATGGACTTAAAGCGGAGTTCCACCCAAAAGGGGAAGTTCCACTTTAATGCTTTGTCCCATTAAGGATTGGCACCTTTGGGGAGCGGGGGTAACCGAATTTGACAGGTACCTGCTCCCACTTCCGCTGCGATCGGAAATTGTCCTCCCTCCCTCCTTGTAGTCTTCTGGGACACATGACAGGTCCAAGAAGACTATGGGGCCATTCACAAAGCGCAGCACTTCTCGCACATGTGCAGTGGGCACCCAGCTGTGAAGCCGCAAGCTGTCACAGCCGGGTGCCCACACTAAAGATGCCAACTCCAGGGAAAGAAGACGGCCGTTAAAACCAGGGGTGGTGAGGACACCGCTGGACCGAGGGACAGGTCAGCAGCTACAGTTTTTATAGCCGATTTTTTTTTTTTTCCAGCTGGAACTCTGCTTTAACTATCAACAAACAGTATTCTTCATCTATCTGGCTCCAACTTTCTCTTACTGCAGTTGCCAGACAGCTTTGCAGGTTGGAGCCTTGTCATGGACCGTTTTCTTTAATTTCCACCATAGATTTTCAATTGGAATGAGGTCCAGACTATTTGCAGGCCATGCCATTGACATTATGGGGGAGATTTACTAAACCTGAAGGGTGCAGAATCTGGAGCAGCTGTGCATGGTAGCAAATCAGCTTCTAACTTCAGCTTCTTCAATGAGGCTTTGACAATAAAAGCTGGAGGCTGATTGGTTTCTATGTAGAGCTGCACTAGATTTTACACTCTCCAGTTTAAGTAAATCTCCCCACATATTTCTTTCTTGTAGGAAAGTTTTCATGGCTTTGGCCCTAGCAAGATGCATTATTATCCTGAAAAATGTCAACACCAAACATCCCTTCAACTGATGGAAGAAGAAAAGTGTCCAAAATCTCAATATAAACTTGTGCATTTATGGAATATTTAATGACTGTCATCTCCCCCGTACCTTTACCTGACATGCAACCTCATATCATCAATGGTTGTGGAAATTTGCATGTTTCCTTCACTCAGTCATCTTTATACATTTCATTGTAACAGCACCAAACAAAAGTTCCAGCATCATCACCCCACCCATGGCAGATTTGTGATTCATCACTGAATATCACTTTCGTCCAGTCATCTACAGTCCATGATTGCTTATCTTTAGACCACTGTAATTTTTCTGTTTAGGTGTTAATGATGGTTTTCTTTTGGCTTTTCTGTATGTAAATTCCATTTCCTTTAGGTGATGTCTTACAGTTCAGTTACAGTTTCTGTCCATTTGTTTTGATGTGCATTTTCTGTTTTCAAGGCATATTGGTTTAAGTTTTCTATCTTGACGCTTTGATGTCTTCCTTGGTCTACCAGTACGCTTCCCTTTGACAACCTTCCCATTTGATTTGTACTTGGTCCAGATTTTAGACACAGCTGACTGGGAACAACCAACATCTTTTGCAACATTCCATGATTTACCTTCTTGAAGTTTCATAATCCTCTATGTTGTTTCAACTCGTGTTGGAGCCATGATTCATGCCAATCAATTTGGTGCAACAGCTCACCAAGGTGTGCAAGCACTCTTTTTTTAACTGCAGACTAATTAGCAGATGTAATCTGATGCAGATGTTTGTTTGCACTGCAAAGTACATGGTGATTCCATAATCTTTTCCTCAGAATTGAGCAATTCTTTTTTATATTCCTCTATTTGATCTTCAGAAACAGTTGCAATTGGCTACAATTTTATTTTTTTAAAATGTTTCTTAAAGCCAGAAGGTTGGAATGTTAAATGAAAATAGTTTTGAGACATGTCTGTGATTGTTTTTTTTTCCTACACAAACAATTGAATGAACATTTTCCATGAGTGGTGATTCCATACATTTTGACGGGTTGTATTTATCTTAAAAAATAATATAGAAATGATCAGATTCATAACACTTGATTGTGCTTTATACAGGGTGTGTACACCAACATAAAGAGAGAAGAGGAAGAAGGGGTCTTCGGTGTTCAATCTGTAGAACCTACCCCCATTGAGCAAAATAGAAAAAAACAACTAAGAGTCAAAGAATGAGAAAAGAAAGCACTTAAAGCGAAGCAGCGTTCTCCTGTCAAAAAAATATACCGTATTTTTCGCTCCATCAAACGCACCTGACCATAAGACGAGCCTAGGTTTTAGAGGAGAACAACAAGAAAAAAAATATTCTGAACCAATGGACTGCAGACATAGTACAGGGGATGACCAGAGACAGCACTCTGTACTCTGTCCGCAGTCTCTGGTCATCCCCTGTACCGTGTCCGCAGTCTCTGGTCATCCCCTGTACCGTGTCCGCAGTCTCTGGTCATCCCCTGTACCGTGTCCGCAGTCTCTGGTCATCCCCTGTACCGTGTCCGCAGTCTCTGGTCATCCCCTGTACCGTGTCCGCAGTCTCTGGTCATCCCCTGTACCGTGTCCGCAGTCTCTGGTCATCCCCTGTACCGTGTCCGCAGTCTCTGGTCATCCCCTGTACCGTGTCCGCAGTATCTGGTCATCCCCACTGCGCCCACTGCGCATGCTACAGTGCCCACTGCGCATGCTTCTCGTGCATGCGCAGTGGGCACCCGGCTGTCAAAGAAGCCAGCGCGGGAAGACTGTACAGCGCTGGAGCGAGGAACAGGTAAGGTCCTGCAGGAGAGAAGAGCTGAGCAGCCAGCCCGATATTCTGACATGGTGGCAGCAGAAATACCAGACCGGCCACTTTATATTCGCTTCATAAGACGCACTAGCATTTTCCTCCTTTTTTTTGGGGAAAAAAAAGTGCGTCTTATGGAGCGAAAAATACGGTAAGTCAGCAGCTACAAAAAAAAAAAAAAAAAAAAGCCACTCACCTGTCCCTCGATTCAGAGGTATGCTCACTGCAGCCAGGTTCACTGGGCATCCTCTGTCCCTGAAATCTTATGTTCACCTTAGGATAAGTTCACCTTTTTGACAAAAATAACTGCACATTTTTTTGCAGGTATAAAAATGTGCATTTATTATTTTTGTCTGCAGGAGCATGGAAAGCATTGCACCAGCGATCAGTAGATCGCTGATGCCATGCAGGTCTCCTGCAGACCTGTCAGAATATCTGCTTGCCGTACGGTATGTACGAACAAGGAGATATTCTGACAGGAAGCCTTAAATGAACTAACACGGCGCTCCACAACGCCGTGGTAGTTCATTGAAAACTACAAGCTGACAGCTGCTAAGGCTGCCGGGACATGTAGGCACTCATTCACAGAACTCTGAGTTCTAAGTGACGTGGCAGTGTGGCACAGGGCCCACTAGAGGAGGTCGGGCCCTCAGGCCACCCTCATGAAATCCATTTCTGATTGTTAGGTCAGAGACATTCACACCAGTAGCCTGCTGGAGGTCATTTAAGGCTCTGGTAGTGTTCATTCTGTTCCTCCTTGCACAAAAGGAGCAGTTACTGGTCTTGCTGATAGTTTAAGGACCTTCTACGGCCCTGTCAAGCTCTCCTAGAGTAACTGCCTGTCTCCATGGAATCTCCTCCATGCTCTTGAGACTGTTTTAGGAGACACAGCAAACCTTCTGGCAAAGACACGTATTGATGTGCCTTCCTGGAGGAGTTGAACTGCCTGTGCAACCTCTGTAGGGTCCAGGTATCACCTCATGCTACCAGTAGTGACACTCACCATATCCAAATGCAAAACTAGTGAAAAAGACGAGGGAAATAAAATGTCAGTGGCCTCCACCTGTAAAACCATTCCTGTTTTGAGGGGTCATCTCACTGTTGCCCATC